GATATTGAAGCTGAAACTCCAGTACTTTGGCCACCTGATGGGAAGAGTTGACTCATTGGAAAAGACCCTGATTCTGGGAGGGATTGGGGGCAGGAGGAGAAGGGGATGACAGAGGATGAGATGGGTGGATGGCATCATCGACCTGATGGACATGAGTTTGAGTAAACTACGGGAGTTGGTGATAGACAGGGAGGCCTGGCGTGCTGCGATTCATGGGGTTGCAGAGAGTCAGACACGACTGAGCGACTGAACTAAACTGAACTGAAGGTAATAGTAATCTCATAAAATAAATTGGGTAGTGGCCTCTCTTCTTCCCATCCTCCAAAACCATGTATGTATGATAGGAATTACTGGCTCCTTGAAGGATTTATAAAACTTATCTATAAAACCATCTAGGCCTAAAGTTCTTGGCAGAGTTGGAAGAAGGCAAACTTCTGATTAGTGATTCAGAATCTCTAAGGTTACTGATTTATTCAGGTTTTCTTCTTCTTGAGTTAATTTTGATAACATTATTCTAGAAAACTAGTGCTTCCCAGGTGGTGCTAGTGGTAAAGAATCCTCCTGCCAATGCAGGAGACACAAGAGATTCAGGTTCAATCCCTGAGTTGGGAAGATCCCTTGGAGTTGTAAATGGCACCCCACCCCAGTATTCTTGCCTAGAAAATTCTATGGGCAGAGGAGCCTGGCAGGCTACAGTACATGGGGCTGCAAAGAGTCAGATATAACTGAGCACACACACACATTCTATTATTAGAAAACTAATTTTTAAGATTCATTGGCATACAGTTGTTTGTAATAGTCTGATACTTTAAAAAAAATCCCTGTAATATAGAAGCTGTAAACTTCTTTCATTCTGAATACTGTTTTCTCTTTTTAAAACCAATTTTTTAAAGGTCTAATTAATTTCTGGATCTATTACTTTTAGTTTTTTCTATTTAAAAAGTATTTTCTCACTTTCTTTAGATTCTCCTTTGATTCCCTTTACTGACTTCTTGAATTGTATCATTTACTTTTGATCTTCCTTTTTTTTCTGTTCGTTTTTAATAAAGGCATAACAAGTAGACCACTTTAGGAGTATTCTGCTGATTCTGATAAATTCTTTGTCATGCAGTTTTCGTGTATTTTGTAATTTCCATTGAGATTTCTTCTTCAACCTGTGAGTTATTTAGGAGACATTTTTTTAAAGTTCCCAAGCATATTTAAAAAAAAAAAACTTTTAAAATGCTGGTTTTTATTTCACTTGCTGTGAGGATGGAGAATACATCTGTATATATATTTGTTAAAACATTTGAGACTTCCTTTGTGATCTAGCTTATGGTCAGTTCTTAAAAATGTTCTATGTATACTTGAAAGGAATATGTATTTCTTATCCCCTGGGTATAGAGATCTTTTGATTAGATAAAGTTTAAATTTGGTTTTCAAAGCTTCTGCACTCTTGCTAAGGTTTTTGTTTGATCTATCAGTTTTTGGTAGAGTTGGTTTAAAATCTCCCTCTAGAATTGTGAACTTGTCAATTTTGCCTTTCTTGCCTTTTACATTTTTCAGGTTCTTCTTTTCTTTTTGTTTTTTTTGCTTTCTAGATTTAAGTACCATCACGGCTGTATTGTTGGGTACCTAGTTCAAGTACCTATCTAGCTTTATTGAGTATTTTCTTTTTATTATTAGTCTATCTGTATGTAATAGATTTTTCCCTTAAATTTTATGTTCTCTCACGTTAATATTGCCTTCACCAGTTTTCTTGGGGGAGGGGGCTTGATATGTCTTTATCTACATTTCTGTTCTTAATCTTTCTGCAGAGTATTAATTAGATATAATAACTCCTAATGAACAACATGGCAAAACCTTGGTGTTACTGCAGGTTCAGTTCCAGACCATGGCAATAACATGAATGCTGCGATAGGGTAAGTCACATGAGTTTTGTGGTTTACTGGCTTCCTGGACTGGTGGGTTGTCTCTACTCTTTTGCTTGTCCCTGCTCCCTCTCTCATTCCCTACCTCTACACACAGAGATTGGGGAGCTGTAGCAGAGACTGCTAGGCTAGCTGTCTACCTCATATACAGTACTTTTTTCTTCCTACTTTGAAACAGAATACTTACTTCTAGCTGGGAGCAATGCTAACCAGAATGAAAGGCACTTCCAGCTTCCCTGGCAACTAAGTACACCAAATGAGATGGAGCTAAAGTGCTATATGAGGCTTCCAGGAAGTCTCTTTAAAAAGGAAGAAGCTCTAGCTGCCATCTTGGGCCAGGAGGATGGATGCCAAGCATTGAGATAGTAGAACAGAAAGACAGAAGGAACCTGGGTCTCTAACAACCTTAGAGCTGCTATGCCAGTGCTGAGATACCTTCTTCCGCACTTCATTTACATAGAGAGGAATAAATGTCTCTCCTGTTTAATCCACTAATTTGGGGGTGGGGTGGGGTTCATTTATTTAGCAGCTGAATGCAATTCCCCATACAGAAATGAGAAATGGTCCTAGAATTTTTATTTAAAAAATGGTACATTGGGACTTCCCTGGTGGTCTAGTGCTTAGGAGTCTGGCTTCCAGTGCAGGGGACATGGGTTTGATGCACGGTCGAGGAACTCAGATCCACATGCTATAGGGCAACAAAGCCTATGCACTGTGACTCCTGAGCCTGCACTCGAGAGCCCACGAGCCGCAACTGCTGAGCCCATGTGCCCCAGAGCCTGTGGCTCCATAACAAGAAGACCCTCGGTGCTGCAACTAGAGAAAGCCTGCACCCCACAACGAAGAGCATCTGCATGCTGCAACAAAGGCCCAGCACAGCCAAATAAATAAATGTTAAAAAATGAACGCCTAACTACCAAACATAGAAAATAAAAATGATTCTCTTCTAGCTAATTAACTTGAACACATTTTACAAACAACATATTTACAATGAATGTGTTCCCTAAAGTACATCTTATAAAATTCTGTGTGCGACTCTTCCTCGTGTCCCATGCCTTTCTTCTAGGTTCACTTCCCCTGCTGGATGAGGCAGGCTGAAGCTGACTTGCAGAGAAAAGCTGAGGGACAAGAGGCAGGGTCTTAAGGGTATTCACGCCTACAGCTCTGGTATCCTTAACCCTCTCTGCCTTTCTGGAGGTTTGATTATACAAGCCAACACACTGTTCTTATTTGTTGTCACCTGAGGTCAAAGCATCCTGATGAAAAGAACAGAAAGCTACTGAAGAGATGTACTCTTGTGGCATTTGCCTAATTTATCCACAGTGAAGTAACCAAAAATAATATAGATTTAAATTTTTAGAGAGGAAGTTGATTTAAAAAAAAAAGATAAAAATGAAGAAGAAAAAAAACACTGGAAAAACACCAGGAGAGAAAGATAAAAATGAAGAAACTAAAAATAATGAGCCCCAGAATGTTGCCTAATTTATCAAACTTGTCAACAGCAGCAGTTAAGAGTAGAAATCTGTTCTTCAAGGGGAAAAAAAATCTCAGACTAAAGTTATCAAACAGTATGAGACCTCAAAGGAACAATAAAAAGCAGAAATGACTGCCCATAGTACAACTTTTTATTTCAACTATTTAAAACAGCCTAAGGACAACACTTAAATACTAAACTTCCTCTTAAAACTCATCTGTCATTTGTATTCAGATACAATATAAGGATGGTACATGACAATTTAAGTCAAGATTTTTTTTTAAAGCCAGGCCTTGTCTTCAGCACAGGGCTAAAGTTTCTTTTATCAGGCACATACTATAATTGTAGTATACTGTTTTTATTTTTTTTAAGATCACATTAAGACTTTCCCGTTGATGATAACAATATAAAAGGGCTAAATTTAAGAAGATCATTTCATCTGGCACATAAACAACTGTTTCACCAAGCCATGTTAAAAACAAACAACAGTATTAAGAATTATTACAACATTCATTTAAAATACATGTTCTTCAATTTGATTTACTATAATTACCTAAAAAGCAAATATTATACATACCTTTCTCATTAACATATATCAAGAGGGAATCCATGAAATAAAACGGGTATTTTAAAATGAGAGTAATTACCTTTGATGCAAGGTTGTCTACCAGAGCAATCATAGAATTCTTAAATAAGGTGGCAGCGGTCAGCGGTCTCTTGGTCACCTCTGTAATGCTCAGCTTGCCTTCAGGCCACATATTCTTCAGCACAGGATTTGAACTGAGAAGCACAGAAAGAGTGGCTTGAACGCTACAGTCAAATAAGTGGATTAAGAATTGCTAAGCATTCCTGCTGAATTGTATCCTGGGAGCCACAACCACACTGCAGACGCAACTCACTAGGCCTGACTGAAAAAATGATTCCACCTAGAAAATCAGGCTGAGAGTATAATGGCAGATACCACACCACAAAATGAGGAGATGTGCCTAAACCAGGCCACCTTCGAAAAACTCTTTCAATTTCTTTAAATGATCGCGCTGTTATTATTACGTAGGATATTCTAATGGTTTACATGGCTCTATACCATATACCTAAAGTCAAATGGTTTTGGTGATTGTTACAAGAATGAGAACAAATCACAAATGGGAGAATGATCCTCAAGGTCATGTCAGAAATCAGGAAAGAGAAAGCATTTTTTTTTTTAACTGGAGTATGATTGTTTTACAATAATGTGTTAGTTCTGCTGTACAATAAAGTGAGTCAGCCATATGCACACAGATCTCCCCTCCCTCTTAAACCTTCCTTCCACCCTAGACCCATCGCATCCCTCCTGGTCATCACAGAGCACCAAGCAGACCCCCTCAATCACAGAGCAGCTCCCCACTAGCTAGCTATTTTATAGACATGGTAGTGTGTATATGTCAATGCTACTCTGTCAATTCATTCCACTTCCTCCTTCCCCCGATGGGTCCACAAGTCTGTTCTCTGCGTCTGTGTCTCAGAAAAGCATCTTTTAATGGACACAAATATGCACACAGTATAGGTCACAAAAAGCCAGGTCTCTCAGAAAATACAGATGGGAACAGAAAATAACCACTTTTACATTGTCTTCTAGTAAATCCCTTCACTGCCGCTGAATTATGATCACATTTATAGGTAGGGCTGGCAGCTCCAATATTTTATTGATGTGACACGAAGGTGGCTGCAATCCAATTCTTAAACTTCAGGCCAGTTTTCAGGCTAAAAATGATATATTCCTTATTTGGCTCTGTGGAGATCTTTTTATAAACATGTATGGTGGTCTCGGCTCTGATTTTCTTCGTTTCATTTGGGTGCTTTTGATTTTTTTAAAATAACTTTTTATTGGAGTATAGTTGACTTACAGTGTTATGTTGGGATTGACATATACACACTACTATCTATAAGACAGATCACTAATAAGGACCTACTGTGTACAGCACAGGAAACTCTATCAAGTGCTCTGTAATGATCTATAAGGGAAAGAAATCTAAAGAGGGGCAGATATGTGTGTATATATATAACTGATTCACTTTGCTGTATACTGGAAACTAACACAACACTCAATGCTTTTGATTTTAAAGTAATTGGAATTTGAAATGCTGCTTGTTTTCTGAAAACTTCTCTCTTGTCAGATTTTTTTTTTTTTAATTGGGGGTTGAGAATAGAAAAAGCTTAACATGGATCTTTTCTGCTAATTGTGTTTACTGCTCTCATCATTTTGCCCACTTTTCTTTCCCTGGGATAAAATTGAGAAAATTGAGTTGGTTCCCCAAACATCTAGTAAATTTCTGTACATAGAGGCTTTAAATAATAGTAGAAAACTGCCAGAATGGACAAGAGCGAAGAGGATAAACAGTGAGGTGAAGATTGACTAGTCTGTGAATGAAGGCAGAGAAATATTCCTGACCCTCAACATTGCCAGAAAGCTGTGCCAACTGCCATCAAATGTGGCTATAAAATAATGCATGATCTGTGGTTCATGGACCCAGTTTTACTATGTTCTAGTCCTATTCCATAATTTTCCAAAGATAACATGTCAATAAAAATGACCACATAAATGTATATTGCTTTTCCTTAACTCTACCATTCCAATCTTTAGCAGAGTTTTCTCAGTTTTCAGTGCCCATGGTGCCCGAATGCCTTTCTAATACCACAGGAATATTAATAGAATTTCCAGAAAGTAGAGTGTGTGCACTTTGAAAATCCTGATGCATGTCGAAGACAGAAAATCACTGTCTTTGGGCCTATGCAGTTTCTATCCCCAGTTCCACCTTGCTCACTTTTGGCCTTGTCTAGACACTATGTTATGAATGAAGGGTGGGGTGAATGTTGGAAATGAAGGAAATAAGATGTTTATTATTAGTATTTATTTATTTGGCTGTGCCAGCTCTTTAGTTCAGCATGTGGGATCTAGTTCCCTGACCAGGGAACATACTGGGCCTCCTGCATTGGGAGCGGGGATTCTTAGCCACTGGACCACCAGGACGTCCCTATTATTATCATTATATCATCGAACAGAAGGATTGACATGTAATGAAGCAAAACAGACAAGTTCAATAGTTTTCTTTTTTCTTTTTTTTTTATGAGCAATTTTCTGATTTATAAAAAGATGCAGGAAATTTTAAAATGACACAAAATTTAATTTTAAAGACAACACTGAAAAGTGAGTGTATTTAACTATACTCAGCTCACTAGAGAGCAAGTGGGTGAGTGCAATAGTAATTCACGCTATAGCATGTTTAGTGAACTGGCAAAAGAGAAAATGGGTCAAAGGAAGATGGAGAAATTTTCTCTTTTCATTAGAACCGAGGGGCTCCGTAATCATCTGGCATCCGCTCAATGTTGTACCTGATCAGGACAAAAAATTAACATTGGTTAGAAACCAGATCCCACCTTAAAAGCCCATCCTTTATTGATTATATCGCTGTCACCTCCTGCTGTGAATCCTTTTTGTCAGTGGGGACATTTTAAAGGCCTATCATAATGAATGATTTACAGCAAAATGCTGACTATATTATCTTTATTCTTCAAAGTGAGAAAGTTAACAAGTTGGAGAGCCAGGTATGGAGTCCAGGTGTGCCCAAGCCCCTCACCCATATTCTTCCAATTTTGTTGTGTTTGTCCCAGGATAAAAAGTTGGCCAATAATAGTCTGAGGACTGACACAGGAACATCAAAGAAGGATAAAAAGCAGCTTTTTTAAAAAAAAATATGAACTTCCAGTTTCCCAGATAAGGTGCTAATTACCTGCACTAGGTTTTCAAAAAAAAAAAAGGTATTTCTAGCCAAAAAGATAAGCTTAAGTTACTGCTTTGTATCAATATTTAAGGCCACACATTTCCCTATTCCTTCTAGTGATCTTACTGTAACAATGTGAATGTCTGCCTCATTCCTAAATCCTAGCTTTATCTTTTGCCTGTGTTCTTGTCATTAATATTTTGTCTCATTTATTCAAATAGAACCATGTAAACATTTTATACATCAATTTTTTTTTTCCAAATCCTTCTATATCTTGACATCAACTATGTACAGTTAATCACTTCTCTAAGAGAAACTTCTCACCTATGGTTAGAAATGTACATGATGGGAACTCCAGGGATCTTCCGGATTCTTCGTTTAAGGTCCCGGTCAACTGTGGCCACAATGTAACACTTGTGCTGAGTTACTCTTTGCACTAAGCAGTCATCTGCATAGGTTCCTTTGTGTGTACATGGTAATCGCTCAAACCTTGGATCCTTGGCAATCCTTAAAGCCACTCTATACTTCTGCCCCAATTTCTCAATTTCAGCCATTACACAGTCAGTTATACAAGGGATACACTTGGCATACAGACAGTCCATCATTGACTGCACTAAGTCCAGTTTGGCTTTAATGGAAAAGTTGATAAAGTTGGTATCGACCAGGNAGAGGCAAAGGCAGCCCATTTAAATACTAACAGGATAGTTTTAATCAAAAGGATTTCAGGACTTTCCATCCCACTAGCAAGACCTTTCCTACTAGGGCTATCTATACAGTAAGTTGCAACTTTTTATGTTTTTATACCTTTGGCGTCTAAGACCTTCCCTGCTGTGAAATGTCTTTAATTACTGGACTTATCTAAGTTCCTTTGTTCTGATTCCAGGCTTACCAAGCAACTAAGCATCCTCTGGATGATATTTTTCACTGTCAATTAGTAAACTAGAGTCCTGTTTAATTTCCCAGGCAGGTTTCCAATAGGGAAGAAGAGCCTGATAAACCAGGGCAAGTGTTTCATACCACGAGACTGTTACGACTGACTGTCTGCGGGAAGTCAGTCCACTCACTGCTGTCTCTGCATTAGTCCTGTGAGCCAGGGTGACCAGAATCCACCACCAGAAGGTGGAGCTGCTCTCAGGGAGCTGAACCTCTGGGCTTCCAGGGCGGCGTGAGTGGTAACCAACCTGCCTGCCGTGCAGGAGACAGAGTTCAGTCCCTGGGTCCTGAAGATCCTCTGGAGAAGGGCACAAAAACCCACTCCAGTATTCTTGCCTGGGAAATCCCATGGACAGAGCAGCCTGGTGGGCTGCAGCCCATAGGGTCGCAAAGAGTCGGACATGACTAATGTGACTTAGCATGCGCACACACAATGAATGCCACCCTGTGCGGCCTCCTGGTACACATCCTGACTGCCTCCCCGGGGCAACATGCCCTGACTTTGCCACTGGACGACTGAGGCTGTTTTTCCAATTTGACTTTTTGACATTTTTTATACAGACCAATGCCAGACTCTTTGGTTTCTCCCTCAGAATGAGTGCATCTTACCTGATAAACCATTCACTGAAGCTCCTTTCTGAAAGTCTCCCCTCCCCAAATTGGTTCTTACATGGGTTCCCTCTCAGACCCCCACGTCTCTGTGATTTTCTAGTGTTGATGGCTCTATCTCTGCTCCTGGAGGCCTCATCCACACCGATGAACCACTTTATAGCAAAACCTCTTGGAAAAAATGGTTGAAACCCACCGTCTCCTCATTCTGATTTTCTGTATTCTCTTGACCCACTTCCATCAGCCATCTGTCTTCATGACACTGCTGAAGTCAGCGTTGTCAGGGTTCCACTGACCTTCATGTCAGTAAATCCAGTGGTGAATCTTGTCCTCACATTACTCTGCTCTCGATAGTGTTTGACACAGTTTATCATTTTTACTTGGCCTCGCCACCCCGACACCAGATTCCTGGCTTCCTTCCTAACTCACAGGCATGCTCTCAGCTTCCTTTGCTAGTTCCTCCTTCCCTGCTTGACTTAAAGTGAAGTCTCAGGGATTCATCCTCCAATTTCTTCTCTCTTTTTATTTTTTGTCAATGCTCACCCTACAGAATCTCAGCTAGGACAATGGCTTTAAGTATTATCAACAGACTGATGACCATGAATTTATTTCTCTGTTCCCACCTTTACTCTGAGTTTCAGATGCACGCATACAATTGCCTATTTGGATGGATGTCCAGGACACACCTCCCACAAAACATATTCGAAGCAGAACTCTTTATGTCCCCCCAAAATGAGCACCTCCTCTGTCTATCCCACAACCAAGCATCCCGTCCCCATCGTCTTTGACTTCTGTTTTTTTCCCATCACACATTCTATCCATCAGTAAATCCTGTTGGTTCTACTTTCAAAATATCACCCACTTGGACCATTTTCCATTTCTGTCACCACCATCCATGTCTCAGCCTGGATCACTAACCTAGCCTCCTATCTGGTCTCCCCATGTTTACTCCTGCCCTTCACAATCTGGGTTTTACACAGCGGTTCCAGTGATTTCTTTAGAACAGACATCATATCATCCATATCATCCACACCGATGAACCACTTTATAGCAAAACCTCTTGGAAAAAATGGTTGAAACCCACCGTCTCCTCATTCTGATTTTCTGTATTCTCTTGACCCACTTCCATCAGCCATCTGTCTTCATGACACTGCTGAAGTCAGCGTTGTCAGGGTTCCACTGACCTTCATGTCAGTAAATCCAGTGGTGAATCTTGTCCTCACATTACTCTGCTCTCGATAGTGTTTGACACAGTTTATCATTTTTACTTGGCCTCGCCACCCCGACACCAGATTCCTGGCTTCCTTCCTAACTCACAGGCATGCTCTCAGCTTCCTTTGCTAGTTCCTCCTTCCCTGCTTGACTTAAAGTGAAGTCTCAGGGATTCATCCTCCAATTTCTTCTCTCTTTTTATTTTTTGTCAATGCTCACCCTAGAGAATCTCAGCTAGGACAATGGCTTTAAGTATTATCAACAGACTGATGACCATGAATTTATTTCTCTGTTCCCACCTTTACTCTGAGTTTCAGATGCACGCATACAATTGCCTATTTGGATGGATGTCCAGGACACACCTCCCACAAAACATATTTGAAGCAGAACTCTTTATTTCCCCCCAAAATGAGCACCTCCTCTGTCTATCCCACAACCAAGCATCCCGTCCCCATCGTCTTTGACTTCTGTTTTTTTCCCATCACACATTCTATCCATCAGTAAATCCTGTTGGTTCTACTTTCAAAATATCACCCACTTGGACCATTTTCCATTTCTGTCACCACCATCCATGTCTCAGCCTGGATCACTAACCTAGCCTCCTATCTGGTCTCCCCATGTTTACTCCTGCCCTTCACAATCTGGGTTTTACACAGCGGTTCCAGTGATTTCTTTAGAACAGACATCATATCATCCATTCCAGTGGCTTCCCATTGTACCTGCTCATGGACTCTTCATGAGCTGGGCCTGTGGACCCCTCTGCAGTCATTCCTGATCGTTCTCCCCTCCCCTCACGGATTTTAGCCACACTGACCTTCCTGCTGTCAACACACCCAGGCTTGATTCCACCTCAGCATCTTGGTGAACTAGTCTTTCTCTCTGTTTGAATGCTGTCCTCCCCCATACTCACGGTTTGCACCCGCACTTCACTCTGGGCTCAGTTCAAATGATCCTTCTTAAAAGAAGGAGCCTTTTCCTACCACACTACCTGTAACACCTCCATGACCCTTCTTGGTCTATACCCTCAACCTCTCACCTAACTTTGTTTTTCTTCATAGCACTTGACACTAGCTGAAAGCTCCATCTTTTATCATTAACTGTCATCTCCACTAGGATAAAAGACCTCAGGAGGGCAGGGACTTTGTCCAGGCTTTTTCAACAGCTGAACCCCAAGAGCATAGGGGAATGTGTGCCTCAGAGGTGCTCCATACATCTTTGATGACCTACTGGCCAATGGGCTGAGCTGACTTGATACACGAGCGACGACACTTCAACCAAAAGAAGCAGTTGGCTAGGAAGCTTCTCTTCTTCATGGGCCTTCTTTCCAAAGTATTTGTACTGGGTGTGAACTTGCCATCCTTTGCTTGGTTTTATTTCTCCATGACTCTCTCACATTTTCTTGGGTTGTGAGAAGATTCTATCCACTCTGACGTGAGAGCCACTCTGTTATTAGGGTGGTCCCTTGGCTGGAGGCAAAGACTACAGTGGGAATCAGAGTGTGTAAAGCTTTCGGCTGGCCCAGAGCTTACCTGACACCCTCCCATCGCACTGCCCTGGCCTGGGGACTGCTGTGTACACTGTCAGGGACAAGAAGGACGGCAACAGTAAAGAGAGAAACTGAGGAAACCCAAGGGAAACCGAGGAACACTGTATTGTAACAGGGTCCCTGCCCTAAGTTTACAGATTTTATCATCATAAAGTAACAGATGATTGCACTCACTAAGTATGATCACACAGAAGTATAAAAATTGCCAGAAAACTCTTAAAATTGTCACACAGAAATAATCATGTGCATACATATTATGTAATAAATGTGTCAGCAAGCTAAATATAAAGACGATTAATAAAATTTTAATCCTACCTGTTATACATGAGGCGCTTGAAATCTTGAAATAAAGTGTCTTTGTTTTTGTCAATAAAACCAACGACAGAATACCTAGTTGAGAAAAAAGAAACATGGAAAACACATTATTCACCAAGCAAGAGCCATTTTTAAGCTTTTCTAGAAGTCTATTAGCCTTTCTACTGTTACATAAGACCATCGATTGTGTATAAAGCTTGCCCACCCAGTTCTGAGTTAAAGAAGATCAAATTTACCTACTCTGTAGACAGGGTGATGTTTCTGTCCCTGAAAAGGAGGGCAAACATCAGTGCCATATTATTAGGGTGGTCCCTTGGCTGGAGGCAAAGACTACAGTGGGAATCAGAGTGTGTAAAGCTTTCGGCTGGCCCAGAGCTTACCTGACACCCTCCCATCGCACTGCCCTGGCCTGGGGACTGCTGCGTACACTGTCAGGGACAAGAAGGACGGCAACAGTAAAGAGAGAAACTGAGGAAACCCAAGGGAAACCGAGGAACACTGTATTGTAACAGGGTCCCTGCCCTAAGTTTACAGATTTTATCATCATAAAGTAACAGATGATTGCACTCACTAAGTATGATCACACAGAAGTATAAAAATTGCCAGAAAACTCTTAAAATTGTCACACAGAAATAATCATGTGCATACATATTATGTAATAAATGTGTCAGCAAGCTAAATATAAAGACGATTAATAAAATTTTAATCCTACCTGTTATACATGAGGCGCTTGAAATCTTGAAATAAAGTGTCTTTGTTTTTGTCAATAAAACCAACGACAGAATACCTAGTTGAGAAAAAAGAAACATGGAAAACACATTATTCACCAAGCAAGAGCCATTTTTAAGCTTTTCTAGAAGTCTATTAGCCTTTCTACTGTTACATAAGACCATCGATTGTGTATAAAGCTTGCCCACCCAGTTCTGAGTTAAAGAAGATCAAATTTACCTACTCTGTAGACAGGGTGATGTTTCTGTCCCTGAAAAGGAGGGCAAACATCAGTGCCATTACTACGACTAAGATCATCACTCCACTGGTTTGTGGCTTACCTCGAGATGCTGACTCTTAAAAAGACAGCTGTGTGTGCCATCCCATATTCCTAAGACAAAAGCAAAACAGCAACGTACAGGATCTAAGAGTCTCATCCGTGGGGAGGTGAGATGACTTGCCTAAGGCTCGCTCACTGTGTTCAGGGTGGGAGAAAAGATCCAAGAAGAACTGCAAAGGATGGTAAGATTGGGGTAAGCAGAAGAGAAAGAGGAAGGCAGATTACACAGGGCAACATTAAACGAAGGCGTAGAAGCAGGCACATGCGTGGAATTGTTGGGAGGAAATGAGAAGGTCAGTATTCGTGGTGTGGAGGGTGGGATGTGAGTAAGGTCTCAAAGCTAAACTTGTAGCTGGCGGCCAAGGGAGGGACAGAAGCTGCCTGCTGCAGTCACCGGCATGGATCTAGAGGGAGTAAATTGTGGGGAGGGGAAAACAGTACAGGGTGATTCTGTGTCATCAAGACAGGCTAAGAGGTTAGGGAAATAGTAACTCTAGAGGCGGCCGCTCCCTATAGCTCTCCTATCTTGCCGGACTGTATTTTCTTCCTGGACAATCACATCACTGCAGACCAGCGGTCCCCAACCTTTTCGGCACCAGGGACTGGTTTTGTGGAAGACAATTTTTTCCATGGACTGGGGTGGGGGTAGGGGATGGTTTCGGGATGATTCAACTGAATTACATGCATTCTGCACTCTATTTCTATTATTATTACATCAGCTCCACTTCAGATCATCAGGCATTAAACCCCAGAGGCTGGGGACCCTTGCTGTAGACAATTCTCAGATCTCCAACTCTGATGCCTCACCAGTCTTACATTGTTCCAGCCGCTCATGTTTCATTCTGCAAGAAAGTTCCGTGCTGCCCATGGGCACAGTTTTAGGCCACCAGGTTCAAAATCATTTCCCTGCCTCCTCCAACCCTGGTCTTCTTCCTACTACCTTCAAGTCACTTTTGACTGAACCCTTAAAGTCACCTGACTCTCAATATATCATCAGACCCATACAATTCAAAGTCCTTATTTGGACCTTTTAGACTCATTGTGATTTGATCTCAATCTACTTTTCTAGGTGTTTCTACTTCTCTATGCCACCAAAAGGATACACTCCAGTCAAATGGGCTAAGGTGCTACTTCCTGAATCTTTCTAGCATCTTTCCCACTTTTTCCTAGAAAAATAATTCCTAGCACCTAACAATCAACATCTGCCTATCTGGGTTTATCAATCACAGTTAAAAGTATTTGCTTATTCTGAAAACACATGTTATTATTCATATGGAAATTATTTTCAACCACATTTTATTGTATTATCATATATATTCAAATGTGTGCATGTATATGTGTGTCTATATACATCTACATCTACATTGGGCTTCCCTGCTCAGCTGGTAAAGAATCGGCCTTCTATGCAGGAGACCCCAGTTTGATTCCTGGGTCGGGAAGATCCTGTGGAGGAAGGATAGGCTACCCACTCCAGTATTCTTGGGTTTCCCCGGTGGCTCAGATGGAAAAGAATCCGCTGGCAACACAGAAAACCTGGATTTGATCCCTGGGTTGGGAAGATGCCCTGGAGGAGGCCATGGGCAACCCACTCCAGTATTCTTGCCTGGAGAATCCCATGGACAGAGGAACCTGGTGGGCTACAGTACACACACACACACACACACACACACACACGCATGTGTGTGTGTTAATACTGTGTGTTAATACGCACACAAACCCACACATGTATGTATGCATTTTACATGGAAAGCTCTTTATGAGCAGGGACCATACTTTATAAAGTATTGGGCACACAGAAGACACCCAGTAAAAATCTAGAAAAGGGTTGAAAGGCTTAAGGAGAGAGAGAAGGGGAATCAGAGACATCAAATATTCCTCTATGGGGCTGGCTAACTCTCTGGTCTGGGAGTCTGAACACCTAGGTATTGTCTCAGCTATTCGGTAAACTTGCTGTCTGATGCTGGGAAAGAATGCTACACACTCTGCATAAATGTCTCCATCTATGAAACAGCGGCTGCCCCTCGTGGCCTCTAAGGCCTCTGTCCAGCTCTGCAGTTAACGCTGATGCAAGCCGTAAAAGAGCACCCAGTGAGTGTGGCCTGGGTGGTCAGAGGCGGGTATCTGTATATCACCAGATCTTCCCTCTTTAGGATTCTGGGATCTGGAAACAGCACCAGAAAAATTGGAAAATGGTGCCACCCCAGCGCGAACGGCTAGTTTGACAGATGGGGGTGATAATTTTGAGCCGTATTATTTTATGATTCTAGAGTTGTAATTTAAATCAGGAACAGCTATTAAAGTTTCTTCAAATGCCTCTTTGGCATTTATAGAGATGATCATTTCCATTTTTGTTGTTTAATCTCTGCCTGTAATGGGTTATGTGAATAGAATTCCCAGCATCAAAAATAAGGAGAAAGGAAAAGAGGGGACTTGAGACAAAAACCAGACAATAAGCAGGGTGGGTGGACAAAGCATGCTAAGTGTAGCAGACTGAAAAACGCCTCCCGTGAAAGACGTGCTGTGCTCTGCTTAGCCACTCAGTTGTGTCCCACTGTTTGCAACCCCATGGACTGTAGCCCGCCAGGGTCCTCTGTCCACGGGGATTCTCCAGGCAAGAATTCTGGAGTGGGCTGCCATGCCCTCCTCCAGGGGAATCTTCCCAACCCAGGGATCGAACCCAGGTCTCCTGCATTGCAGACAGATTCTTTACCGTCTGAGCCATCAGAGAAGCCTTGTCAAATTCCCTGGAAACTATGAATATTACCTTGTATGGTAAAAGATGTGATTACACTGAGGATCCTGGGAGAAGAAATTCATCTCGTGTTATTCAGGGGAGCCTTAAAGGCATTCACAAGTGTATCTTTAAAACAGCAACAGAGGGAGATTAAACACAGACACCCCAAAGAGGAGGTGGCAATGTGACCATGGAAGCAGAGACTGGAGTGATAACAGTCACAAGCCAAGGAAAGCAGGCAGCCACCAGATGACGAAGAAAGCAAGAAACAATATTCCTCTAAAGCATCCGGAGTGTGGCCCTGCCAGCACCTAGATTTCGAACTTGTGGCCTCCAGAACAGGGCATCCCTGACGGCTGAGATGGTAAAGAATCTGCCTACAATGCAGGAGACCTGGGTTCGATCCCTGGGTCAGGAAGAACCATGAAAGAATACATTTCTGTTGTTTTAAGCCACCAATTTGTGGTCATTTTTTATAGAAACCCTAGGAAATGAAAAGACTAAGGAAGTTATATGTTTTTAGTTTTATTTTCTTACCAATTTCTATTTTTATCACACTGAAGCCAGAAAATGTAGCTTGTGAGAATTTTACTTTTTTGAATAATATGTGAAAAATCATATGGGAAAACCGGTTTTTTGCTCATATAGTTACCCAACTACCAGTAGTTCTTCATGTATAGTGATGACTCTCACTTCTGGGCCTACATGCCTGCTGTCTCTCTGCTTGGAATGCCCTCTCATCTCCTCCTCTTCCTAATTCTGTCTTCCGACTAAGCCTCTTTTACTTTCTAGGCTCATCTGGAATATCACTTCCTTCCAGGCTTGACTACACTCCTCGCTCCGGGTTAATTATTCCTCCTCAGTTTTCCCACAAGGCTTCCCTGGTGGCTCGGTGGTGAAGAACCCAGCTGCCAATGCAGGAGATGTGGGTTCAATTCCTGGGTCAGGAAGATCTCCTGGAGAAGGAAATGACAACCCACTCCTGTATTCTTGCCTGGGAAATCCCACGGACAGAGGAGGCTAGTGGGCTACAGTCCATGGGGTGGCAAAGAATTGGACATAACTCAGCAACTACACATCAACAAACAACAGTGTCCCCATAATGCCTTGTATGTCTCCAGTTTATCCCTTTCTGCTCTTCATTATCATGACTCATCATGTATCTGCCTGTGTCCTCCACTAAGCTGTTAGCTTCTTCAGGGCATAGGCCATGTTTCTCATCTTTCTATCCCAAATCCTAACATACTTCCATGGTTTATTTAACCATCAGTTGATGTTGACCGAATGTCAACTATGCCAGAAACTGTGTATGGCCACACATGATGTGTCTTTAACAAATGTTTGAAAAGCAAGGAATGAATGAAGCTATGCCAATGTTGTAAGTGAAGAAATTAAAATATATTGGCATCAGAAATGGCTGGAAAATGCAAACCAATAGGAAAACAATTTCTATTTCCCTTGATTGTATCTTCTGCAGTGAGGCTGCATGCAAACCACCACGTCAGGCACCGGAGGGAGATACTTACACCACGTCCCCTGCATAATGTCGAATTCGAAAATCTCGATCAAACTCCAGGATCTTGTCTGAGGCGCAGAGCTAAGGAATCAAGAAGGAAGGAGATGATCTTGAAAACAGACATTTTCACTTTCCTAAAAATATATTCCAACTTAATAGGAGAGGATAATCATGTCACAAATCATGATATCATTATGAATGAAGTCCCAGTGTGTGGGGCTTTAATTTGGCAAATGTGGTAAAGATTGAGAACTTTTCCCCCAGAAGTGCACAGAGCCAGACTGCATTTCCTGGCCACCTTGGTGACTGGGAATAGCTGGGTGACCAAGCTCTGGACAATGGAAGGTGAGTGTGAGGGGATAAGGTTCTTCAAGGTCAAAGCTGGTAAGAAGTGGGTGATTCTCCTCTGTACTTTCTCCTCACCTCCCACTAGTTGGATGCAGAGAAGGATAGTCCTGAGGGGATGGAAGAGCCTGAAGATGGGAGAAGCCTGGGACCCTGGGAGAGAAAGAGACTTCAAGTGTCTATGACACTTAAATCTCGGCTGTTAACACAGCCCAGCCAACCTGGACTGGTAGAGCCTCTCTCTCCTCCATGTCCCACTTAAAGAAGACCATTTTGAGGACGTGCCATCTTCTAAGCATGGTATCTCATTCAATGCTCACAACTGATATTTAAACTAAGGATTATGGATTCTCTTTTACATACATGAAAACTAAGCCTCAAGCAGGTTAGGTAACTGGTCCAAGGTCCTGCAGCTGATAAATAATAGCTCTGGGAGGAATTCTTGGGACCAAATGCCATGTCCGTACTCTGCTATGTGTATATCAGCCTGGCTCACCCGTCTTCTGCTAAGCTGGGACTCCAGGTCTACCACTGCACAGAAGATCAACCTTCTGCAGCTGTTTCTCACTGAAGAGGACCCCTCTGAGAAGGCAGTTTTTATATAGCCCTGGATCTCTATAAGTTTCTGCAATTTCCTTATTACAGAAGAACCTAGATTCTTTGACCACCCTGTAAAGGATCACTTGATACTCTTTAGGTTCAAAAGTGCATGTTTAAGAATCCATAACTATTGGGACTTCCCTGACGGTCCACTGGTTAAAACTTCACTTTCCAATGCAGGAGATGTGGGTTTGATCTCTGGTTGGGGAGCTAAGATTCCACAGTGCCTCACAGCCAAAAAAACAAAACATAAAACAGAAGCAATATAAAGACTTTAAAAATGGTCAACATTAAAAATATTAAAAAAAAAAATCCATACGCATTGAGTATGGTTATGTACAAACATCACTTGGCTTGTCATGTTAGATAACAAACAGCCCCAACCAGGATGGTGGGTTCTCTGTGGATGTAGACTGTTAAGGGAATAATTAGTCTATTAATTCAACAAATTAATAATTACAGGAAGTTAGAGTCAGACTTCTGAGGTTGCAGTCTTGTCTCTACCATCTATATGCTCTCTTTCCTTCAGTAATCACTTATTGCAGAGTTGTTCTAGAGGTTAAGCCAACTATGGAGAACAAAACATCTAACATTCAGAGGGGTCTCTGAAATATTTAATTCCCCTCTCCTTCCCTCTCTTATCAACCACTTTTACAAAACCCTTCTACTTATAAAACTCCCAAAGGAAAAGGACTCAAGAGACATCTATACTAATTGAATATTCTTACATTTCCATACTGCAAAGTCTTAACTGATCTAAACATAGAACTTTTAGATTTTTCTTTACTTTTTTAAAAATAATAAAACCTATTTATCATTCAACTTTACATGTTTACAGTACTTTTAACAGTAATTTTATAGTTTATTGGATCATCTGTCTGCCTCTGCATGATAACTTTAACGCATGACAAACAATTTAGCCCCTAAATAAACACAAGCCAGAAACCTCTTCTTTAACCTGCCAATAAAAGTAATTAATCATTAGTAACCAATAATGAATGAAAATACCTGCTGTGACATACAGGATAATAGCATTTATTTAACGGAAAGGCTCACAGTGATGAAAATATCCTGACAGCTTGGTTATTTCATTTCTTTCCTTCATTAGGCAAAACTCCCAGAAAAGAACACACAAAAAATTTCCATCTCAAGATTTGTCTGAGAGATGCTGCTGCTGAGGGAGAAAGAAGCCACCTGGCCTGAGAGTTGAGAGAACCTGGGCTCCCACATTAAAGGGAAGAAAAGAACATTTCCATCTTCACGGATAAATTACTATTTAGCCAATCAAGTCAGCAGTTACTGCTTAAAAGTACTGCATGAACAGCTTTGACTTGAAATATCTGGCTGACACATTCAGGTACATAAATGGCCAAGGTGAAACATAACAAAATGAAGCGATTTCCCATATGAGAATCATAGTTGTTTATCTAATCATACAGAGAGTTGCCTGTTTTATAATTCAGAATTCAATATTTCCTAAAATTTATTTGGTATGATCGTGACCAATCCAATTCGATTTGATACACAAGGATTGTCTACCATCTGGTAGACATAATATGAGGCGAATCTCCAAAATCTGAATTATGATTATAAAGGACATTTTTACCCAACCCCTCAGAGATGGGACATTTGCCCCTGTCACTGTGCCATTTTTGAAAGCATCACTCTAAATTATTCATGTGGCTTCTAACTTTGCTTACTGTTCTGTCCCCAGCCTTCATGATTGTATCTGGAAAATGAGAGGCACTTATTCAGTATTTGTGTTATAAACAGGAAATGACTGGAGGAATAACTCTAGCTGGAACCCTAATGTCAAAGATCAGACTATAGGGACTTTCCTGGTGGTCCAGAGGTTAAGACTCCGTGCTTCCAATGCAGGGGGTGCAGGTTCAATACCTGGTCGGGAAACTAGATTCCACATGCCATGCAGCGTGACCGAATGTAAAAATTAAAACAAAGATAAGATCATAGTATCTGAAAGCCAACTTAGAGCAGAGGCTGCAGGTTAGTCTTCAATAACAGACCAAGGAGAATGTTTTAGAAATAAACTGACCTAAAATAAATATCAGCCAGTAATCTATTTCTTGATGATTTGTGCTTTCTCTAGTTAACTGTGGAATCTTACTGTTCTGATTACATAATGCCAAAAGGGACAAAGTTAGAATATAGATTTATTCATACTAAAAAATGGCAGTGCGTCACAGATTTACATGGAATTATGGAGGAGCAGAAACGTTTGCCCCCTTCTTCACGGAAGTGAAGAAGAACAAGGCCTGTTTTTCCTTCAGCTTATGGTTACTAGACAAGCCTGTATTTATAGGGAACACCTGGGGATGATGGTGTGTCTCTCCTAGGACAAATATCATGGCAAACATGCTATACGCAAGGCACAGCACAAAGGTCTGATCACCACAACTGCCACCAGTTATCATAGAAACATGATTGGTTTGTAACATTTTTAGAATGTGAAAAATAGGGAGTTAAAAAGGACACCCATTTATTTAAGGAATGAGTTTCCTTGTAACATGAGAATTTCAGCTAGAATTTCTCGTTTTCAAGAAAGTCACATAGTCTGAAGAACTAGAGCAGAGCACACATACTATATTTTTATAACTGAGGATTACAGTAAAAAGTCAAGGACAAAAGCTATTTTCAGTGCCATAATTATCGGATGCAGGAGCAAAATTCTAGCACATGAACAAGGTCTCTGTACCTATTGGTTATAAATGACATCATGCTTTCTAAAGAATTGTGTTCGTTTTTCCTTTCTAGCAAATTGAGTAGTCTAGAGAGCCCTCTCCTGGACATTATGATTTTTATCAATCACATCATCCCATAAAGAAGGCTGAGCACCAAAGAATTAAAGCTTTTGAACTGTGGTGCTGAAGAAGACTCTTGAGAGTCCCCTGGACAACAAGGAGATGAAATCAGTCGATCCTAAAGGAAATCAACCCTGAATATTCATTGAAAGAACTGATGCTGAAGCTCCAATACTTTGGCCACCTGATGCGAAGGGCTGACTCATTAGAAAAGACCCTGATGCTGGGAAAGATTGAAAGCAGGAGAAGGGGATGACAGAAGATGATATGGTTGGATGGCATCACTGACTCAATGGACATGAGTTTGAGCAAGCTCTGGGAGATGGTGAAGGACAGGGAAGCCTGGCGTGCTGCAGTCCATTGGATCGTAAAGAGTTGGACTTGACTGAACAATAACAACATCATCATCCCAATAAACCAGAGAGGTAGAACTTATCCACAGCAATAAATCATTTCAGGGATGTTTGGCCTTTCATACTCATGTGGACATTCTTGTACCCCAACATAAAAATTCATTTGATTCTGTCGAACAATAAGGAAAATCGTACGGATCACAATGAGAGGACGTTCTCACTATACACGGTACCTTGCGGCTGGAAAAATGACCGTGTTTGCCCAGTTTACTGTTGAGTGCTTCTAGGAACATCTCATCGGTGACTCTGCCGACGTTCATGCAGGCATCATCGAGGATGGCAATGATCCCCTTGTGCTGCTGCTCCACCAGGTCCACGATGATCTGATTGTTGAAGTAATCGATCTGGAGGACACAGCACAGAGCCAGTTACTGACGGAACGGTGACCAGCTGCAACACCAGTGCCTCCACATGTACCAGGAGTTCAAGTCACTTTGATGTCAGATATGTAAATCACATTTCATGAGGCTTCCCTGGTGGCTCAGATGGTCAAGAATCTGACTGCAATGCAGGAGACCTGGGTTCAGTCCCTGGGTTGGGAAGATCCCCTGGAGAAGGGAATGGCAACCCACTCCAGTGTTCCTGCCTGGAGAATCCCCTGGACAGAGGAGCCTGGCGGGCTACAGTTCATGGGGTCACAAAGAGTGGGACATGACTGAGCGACTAACACTTTCGATGCTAAAATGAGTACACGTTCTAACAGAGGTTTTTTAACAGATGTATTTATTGACTTTGTATCATAAAACATTTTGTCTTGGGAGTTCCCTAGTGGTTTAGTAGTTAGGATTTGGCACTTCTCACTGCGGTGGCCCTGGTTCAATTCCTGGTCAGGGAACCGAGATCCCACAGGCTGCACAGCTTGGTCAAGATATTTTAAAAATTGCCTTAAATGAACACAGCAAGTCCCCTACAAACGAAAGAGGTTCATTCTCAGAGTGATTGTAAGACCAATAAAGTTAACCGAGGTACGCAGCTAACACAATCGGCTATATAGTACTGTACTATGATAGGTTTATAATATTCTTCACATAAATAATACACACATAAAAAATGAACAAACACAAAAAATAAACATTTTGCATCTTATAGTACAGTACCTTGAAAGTAGAGTAGTACAATAGCTGGCACACAGGGGCTGGTGTGAACGTTTGCATTTTTAAAAGTCTACAACCTGAAGGTTTGTAGGTAGGGGACATACTGTACAGCTCAAGGTGAAAAGTATAAAGTAGATGATGTTTCTTCCTTCACTCAGTCTTATTTTAATCCTGTCTTCATACTTGGCACCTAACCTTACTCTTCATACTGTCAACCCCTTCATCTGTTGGCTGCTAATTTGCTGTGCTGAGCCACTCAGTCGTGTCCCAACTCTTTGTGACCCCATAGACTGTGGTCTGCCAGGCTCCTCTGCCCATGGGGATTCTCCAGGCTAGAATACTGGAGTGGGTTGCCATGGCCTCCTCCAGGGGATTTTCCCAAGCCAGGGATCAAACCCAGGTCTCCCGCATTGCAGGTGGATTCTTTACCATCTGAGCCACCCGGGAAGCCCCCCTATGCCACTAGGTGCCCACAAATAACCTGGAAGTATTACTTTATACCTAACTTGATGAAGTTAAGGTGTTACACAGAACTTGCATTTTTAGTTACATGACCCTGGCTGACCAAAATGTCAGAGTGCCTCCTCCAGTTTCCCAAAAGTTTAAAAAGCACATATGGATCTAACAGAGTTTTTCAGGGTACAATATAAAAAATTTAATTATCAGATATAAGGACCCATAAAGGGTAAGAATACACTTTTCATTTGCTTCCACAAGCTGAAAAAAAGTTATAAACAACTTCTCAATCTTTCTCTACTTCAAGACATACAAGGTATGTATCATAATCCTCTTCTACACCTGTTTCTTCTGATGGAATTGTGAAAGTGCTAGTCACTCAGTTGTGTCCAACTCTTTGCAACCCCATAGACTGTAGCCCACCAGGCTCTTCTGTCCATGGAATTTTCCAGGCGAGAATACTGGAGTGGGTTGCCATTTTCTCCTCCAGGGGCTCTTCCTATCCCAGGAATCGGACCCAGGTCTGCACTGCAGGCAGACTCTTTATCGGCGAAGCTACCAGGGAAGCCCGTTTATTCTGAGAGCCTGCAGCATCTACATCGCCACACTCAGAGAGAGAGCACGCATGGGCCTGACTCAGGCAAGCTGTGCATCACGTGAAGACGGGCAGTCTATACACTTCAGTCTTGTGTGTTGATGTGTCCCAGATCACTCAGCAGGTGCCTGATGGGAGAGTTGTCTCCATTACTCTCTCTAAAATGGACACAACACACAATAGATGATTTCTATGTCTCATGGATCCCTGTTCAGTGGTGTTTAAAAATCCCACGGCTCATGCCAGCTGTGGCTTTCAGCTCCACCTCTAGTTTTCCAAGCCCTCCTCTGTATTCCATGAACTCAAAGTCTGCAAACTGGGTGGCTTTTACTTTCTTTATATTTTTCCGGTTTGTCTAAATCAGTGATACTCAATGGAGTGTGACTTCCCCCGGAACCCCTAGGGCATCTGGCAATGTCTGGAGACGTTTTTGATGGTCATGACTAATGGAATGCGACTGGCATCCAGTAGGAGGAGGCCAGGATACTGCTAAACGTCCTACGACGCACAGGACAGGCTTGGTACAAAATGTTAGTACAGAGACAGATCAGTCCTGGTCTAAGTGTTTACTTTTCTTGTGGGTAATTTATTATATTTCTCACCAGGGAAAAAAGTTATTTGTATCTTTGGAAAAAATATTCTTAAAATGTTCAAAAAGTAGGAACTCTATATTCATCCACATAGCTGAAATCTTAGACTTTGCAACTGTGGAATTAAAGACTAAGTCTTTTGTCCTAAGGACAAAAGAATTGTTTCCCAAATTCCAGCTGGCTATCTACAAGTAATTAGTCTTTGCTGAAGAGTCCAGTAGCTTTTGGTTCACAATTTAATGCTGCTTTAAGCATTGCCTAAAATTGTGGTTTTCCAATCAGGTTCTTCCAGCAACCTGGCATTCCCAAGAGGTTTCTTAGGGGATGCAGGAGACAAACAGATGGGATGGAGTTTTCACTTTTTATTTACTTTAAATAATTTTTCCTGCAGCACAGCTGATTTACAATGCTGTGTTACTTTCTGATTTACTGCAGACTGCATCAGTTGGATGTGTGTCAGTCACTCAGTTGGGTGTGAATCTCTGCAACCCCATGGACTGTAGCCTGCTATGCTCCTCAGTCCATGGAATTCTCCAGGCAAGAATGAACACTGGAGTGGGTTGCCATGACCTTCTCCAGGGGATCTTCCCAACCTAGGGATTGAACTTGCGTCTCTTATGTCTCCTGCATTGGTAGGCGGGTTCTTTACCACTTGTACCACCTGGGAAGCCAAAGTAAATCTGTTACATATATTCACTCATTTTTAGATTCTTTTCCCATATAGATCATTACAGGGTACTGAATAGAGTTCCCTGTGCCACACAGTAGGTCCTTATTAGTTATCTGTTTTATATACAGTAGTGTGTCTGCGGTGCTAGAGAAGATTCCTGAAAGTCCCCTGGACTGCAAGGAGATCAAACCAGTCAATCCTAAAGGAAACCCACCCTGAATATTCACTGGAAGGACTGATGCTAAAGCTCCAGCACTTTGGCCACTTGATGCGAAGAGCCAACTTCTTAGAAAAGACACTGATGCTGGGAAAGATTGAGGGCAAGGGGAGAAGGCGACAACAAAGAATGAAATGGTTGGATGGATCACCAAGTCAATGGACATGAGTTTGAGAAGACGCCAGGAGATAGTGAACAACAGGGAATCCTGGCATGCTGCAGCGCAAAGAGTCAGACACGACTTATCGACTGAACAACAACAAATGTGTCTATGTCAGTAAGTTGGGGGTTTTTAAAGGAAATACTTGCCCAGAATAGGGATTCTAATTTGGGCATTCGGCCTGTCCTCAGTAACTGTTACCCTTGAGAGAGTCTTCTGCTTCCTCTAGGACATATTTCTCTTGGTTTATTTCACTAAGAATTGTTTTAAAGGGCTTTTTTCTCCCTTTTCATATGTTTGGAATAGCCTCCTGCCATTGTTGACTTTTCCCTGTATCAGCTATGCCTGTGGAATTTGATGTTCTGATTGTTAAAGGATATTTTTGACCAGTATCTCTGAACCACATCTGAATAACAAATTTTATGATTAAATTTGTTATAAAAACCTAAACCTCAGTTATAATTGTGTATTATGAGAAACAGATTCATTCTATGAAAGTTGCATATTAACTTAATTGAATTACATGTTAAATATGTGATGAGAATTCATTCTTTAAATCAAAACTATAGGCAATCCTATTAGAAAGCAATAGTACACCCTTGGTTTATTTGTAAATAGGTAATATTTATACTAATATATTTGAACAAAATTTTTTATGGTATTCTAATATATAACACAATGGAAGGCAAAGAAGCAATTTAAAGCAGGAAAGCTAGTTATTATACCATATATATACATATATAAGATTTATAATATGTAATTATATATCATATATGTATGTTTCCAGTATCTACTTTTCCTAAATCAGAGGAGATAGAAAGTAAGATGCTGGGAAGGAATATAAAAGTAATTTAAATACAGCATTTCAAATAGGTTTTTACTGCTTACACTGAGTATCAGAAAACAAATATGGACTTCATTGTCTATACTTGGCAAAAGGATAAACACAGAAATAAAAGGAAACTCAGAAGTTTTTGAATTTTTTAAGTCTGTTCTCAAAATTGTTTTATAATAAAAATTTGAAAGAAAATTACAAAGTCCCATTTCGATCATGAGCAGGAAGTCTAACGGTCATGGTTTTAGCTGTGATCTGTGGGATTGTACCCTGCATCAATCAAACTGTCTGCCTACATCTTATCGGACTAGTGACAAAGACAAAGTTCTCAGAGAGCCCCGAGAGGAGAGGGGGAAACTGTCGTGTGACACAGTGGAGACTAAACGGAAATCAAAGTTATCACAGCTGTTTTCATGCACTGGTTCCAGGGAATATGAACTTCATTAACCAAAGACAACAAAGTGCCACTGAGTTTACTAAGCAGAGGAAGAAAAAACAGGAATAAGAGCAAAAAAAAGAAGGGAGGAAGCAGAAGAAACTCTACTAGGAAGCCAAGTTCTGTCCACTGAAGGCAAAAGCTGCTGCTATGAATAACTAATAAAGGATGCTAAAGTCAAACAGACAGATGTGAACCAAAAAGCCATGTGTTCTTACGGTACAGCATAGACAACTGGTTCAATATCCTATGATAAGCCATAATGGGAAAGGGTATTTTAAAAAATGTACACATATGTGTATGACTGAATCACTTTGCTCTATAGCAGAAATTAACACATTGTAAATCAACTATACTTCAATGTAAAATATTTCTTTTCTTTTCTTTTATATCTATATAAGATGATGAATATTCACTAAATTCATTGTGATAATCATTTCATGATGTGCGTTAAGTCAAACTGCTTTACTGTACAATTCAAACTTACACAGTGCATGCGAACATGCTCAGTAGCTAAGTCGTGTCTGACTCTTTGTGACCCCATGGACTGTAGCCCACCAGGCTCCTCTGGCCCTGAAATTTTCCAGGCAAGAATACTGGAGTGGGTTGACATTTTCTCCTCCAAAACTTATACAGTGCTATATGTCAATTATACCTCAATAAAATTAGAAAGAAAAAACAAAATAGAAAAAAACCTACAGGGTATCAGCCATCAGGTGAACATAAGTTTACTGATTTTAACTCAGCCTTTTCTGGGTCCCAAACAGAGAGTTGATTAAATTAGAGAAACCCCATCTGTCAACTCTGAAAATGAATTGTATGTTCATACCCCAAAAGGAAAGCTAAGGGTGCTGTGTTTCAAGCACCCAAGGAGATCAGCTGACACCTAGGATGCTAGAAGTTGGCTTTATCATGAATCCACTCACGTGCTTCCAGGGGATTCCTTCCCGCTGGTACTCCTCCTGTTCTTGCTTCAGGACCAGCTGAATAAACAGCTGCTGGAGCTTCTCGTTGCAGTAATTGATGCAGAATTGCTCAAAGCTGCAAGAAAAAGAATTAGGCTCAAACAAATTTAAAAAACAACAACAACAAAACAATACGGTTTTTAGTATCTGCTCCAGTTTACCTGTTGTTGTCGAAGATTTCAAAGCCATAGATATCCAAGACACCAATAACAGTGTTCTTCCCATGGATGGTGGTGTCTGAGTTCTTGACTTCAATAATATCATTGATGCGGGAAACAATCCAACAGAAAAGGCGCTCGTATATGGCCTGTGATGAAAATGACCACGTAAATTCTTGCATGTTGGAAATGAGTTCTCTGTTTGGATTTTTTAAAAAATTTTATTCATTCATTCATTTTGACTGTTCTGGCTCTTTGTTGTTGTGTGGGCTCTTCTCTAGTTGCAAGGAATGGGGGCTAGTTTTTGCTGAGACGTGTGGGCTTCTCATTGCAGAGCCCCCTGGCCCCACCCCACCTCACTGTGGCACAAGGGCCCTAGGGCGCATGGGTTTCAGTAGTTGTGGCAGGTGAGCTCAACAGTTGCAGCTTCCAGGCTCTAGAGAACAGGCTCTGTAGTTGTGGTGCACTAGCCCAGTTGCTCCATGGCATTTGGGATCCTCCTGGACCAGGGATTGAACCCACGTGTCATGTAATGGCAGGTGGAGTCTTATCCACTGTGCCACTAGCGAAGCCCTGGATTTGTGATGTTTTAAATTTCTATTGACCTTCTCCTTACCATTTAGCATAGCTGTTAACCCTTTAAGCTGAAAAATGAGAAATGAAGACCATTTTCTTAAAAAACTACATGACGTTTGCATGACGTTTGGATCTTGGTTATTATTGGTCACTATGTGACCTATATTTCAACAAAATTCCTTAGGTGTGTTTCTGTGACCTGGTAATACCAATAAGTTGCTTACTAACTTGTATAAGTCACTTTGATGTTTTATTTTATAAAAAGCAGAAAATCAACAAGTTCTATATTCTATGGATTCTAAATACATAAACATTGATTTATAATGCTAAATAAAGATCTAAACCAAAAGGACAGCATTTCAAATTCCTTGAGGATCAAATACACATTTGATGCCCAAGGGCACACACACACACCAGCATGGAAGGACAAAGGCACCACACACTTGCACACATTCACATCCTGATACAAACGTGTCCTGAAACGTCACATCTACAGAAAGTCTTTCCTTAACATGTTCCTCCAGATTCCCACTCTCTTCACCTATACATGTCCATACTCATGACCTCCACTCTTCACCTCCTCTTCCAGCCACTCCAGTCTTCATTTTCTCTCATGAGTCCACTGAAATGGCTCATCAAGGACCCCAAGCATGTCTGTATGGACACTTTCTCATATCTCTATGTGGACATCTTACCTGGATACTCAGCAACACTCAACCCAGTTTCCCACTCTTGCCTTGAAACTTTCTGCCCTCTGGTTCATGACATCACACTGTCTTAACGTGCCTCTTATTTCACCAGCTGTTCCCTCTTGGTGACCTTTAGCAGGTCTTCTCTTGTTGCTCAGTCACTAAGTTGTGAACAACTCTGCGACCCCATGGACTGCAGCACGCCAGGCTCCTCTGTGGTCCACTATCTCTTGAGTTTGCTCAAATTCACATTGATTGAGACAGTGGTGCTATCTAAGCATCTCCTCTACCTGACCCCTAAAAGCTGGAGCTCCTCCTGGTCCCCTTCTCTTCTCTCCCTATCTCCTCTTTGCTGTGTCATTTCAAACGACAATAAAGAACAGTGACATAACGTTTCCCCCCAAAAGTACCGTCTCAGTGCAGGCTCTCCTCTGAGCTCCAGGTCCCATGCCTGACTGCCTACCTGGCAGCATATCTGGGATGTCTCACGGCTGTCTCAAACTTACATCTCGTCTGGACTGCTGATCTTCCCACCTCCCCCAAACTGTTCCTTCTTGTCATTTAGCTGCTAAGCCATGTGCAACTCTTCTGCAATTCCATGGACTGTAGCCCGCCAGGCTCCTCTGCCCATAGGGATTTCCCAGGCACGAACACTAGAGTGGGTTGCCATTTCCTTCTCCAGGGGATCTTCCCCACCCAGGGATTGAACTGCGTTTCCTGCTTGGCAGGCGGATTCTTGACCGCCAAGCCACCCTACTTCTAACCACAAATAACTAGAAACAGAAACTCAGGGGTTCATCAGACATTTGGTACCAGAGCCTCACAGGGCCAACAGGACACCGGTTAACACCGCACCTTGGCGAAGGCGTCCCTCCCGTAGCTGGCTTCCTGCTCGCTGTGCTGCTTGTCGATGATGTCACGGCCCGTGGCCACCGTCCGGTAGAGGAGGGCTTTCTCCACCATGTCCGTCTTGGTGGACAGCAATTCTGCGATGACAGATACAAGCTTGCCGTCTTCAATCAGAGTGGTGTCACCATCCACTACAAACTTTAAATTTCCCTGTATCGGAAGAGAAAGACCAAGACACACCGTTTCCAATGAGATTCTGAAAAACCATGTCAGGGGAAGATTTGACAGTGCGAGAGAATTCCCTTGTCTGTAGCACTGATCTTCCTAAATACATTAATATCTCAACACATAAAAATTGGGTGCTTCATCCATTTCGTCCTTCTCCAGACACTCATCTATCTTTCCATTTTCAGTGTATGGTTTTGATGGATGGAAATTTTATATTTTTATGTAGTTAAATCTAAGTCATCTGCTTCAGGGTTTCTCTTTCTTTGGTGTCATGCGTAGATCATTCCAACTCTGAAGATTTTATGAATATTTAATAGATTTTTCTATTCCTTTTACAGTTTTTTCCCTCATATTTAAGCCTTGAGTCCAGCCAGAAGGTATGTCAGTATAAAGTAAGACTCTAACTATATTTTTTCAGATGACTACTTGCTCCAAAACCATTAACTGAATAGTCTAAGCTTTTCCTCCTGATTTGAAATATAACCTTTATTACATGTTAATTTCCACCAATTTTTTGGGTCTATTTATATTCTACTCATTCAAGAAACAATACATACATATTAGCCAGCTACTAACTAATTAACCAGCACGTGAACTAATCTGTTGATTAATCTGGTGCTGAACTTATGCAGCAAGTTTTAAAGCACCGTGGCTTTTACTATCATTTTATTTATTTCATTTATTTTTATTAGTTGGAGGCTAATTACTTTACAATATTGTAGTGGTTTTTGTCATACATTGACATGAATCAGCCATGGATTTACATGTGTTCCCCATCCCGATCCCCCCCTCCCACCTCCCTCTCCANAACGGCTGGAATTAGTTGTGTCTCTTTCACCCAGCTCCCCCTACCCTACTATTCTTTTTATTCACTTTTATTACATGTTTATTGTTCTAGTAAATCCTAGAATCATTATGTCAACTGAAAAAAAAATTCTTCCTTGGATACTGAAGCATTATTGTCACATTGTATTTATAAACTAGTTGAAACAATGAAATAATTTAGAATGTAAAGTCTTCCCAGTCTGACACATTGATTTGTTTACATGTGGCTATATAATATTTTTCACATAGGTCCTGAACATTTCTGTCTTTTTTTGTTGGAGGGGGAGCTACACTGGGTCTTTGTTGTTGCATGTGGGCGTTCTCTAGTTGCAGTGAGAGGGGGCTACTCTTGGTTGCGGGGTGCCTGTTTCTCACTGCGGTGGCTTGTCTTATAGGGGAGCAGGAGCTCTAGAATGCAGCCTCAGCACTTGGGGTGCACGAGCTTAGGTGCACCGCACACCTGGGATTTTCCTGGACCAGGGATAGAACCCATGTCCCCTACACGGGCAGGCGGATTCTGCACCACCAGGGACGTCCCAGGTCCTGTGCATTTCTGATTCACTTAGGGTTAATCTCTCCACAGGAAAGTGAAAAGTCATTTGTATTCCAGATTTGTATTCATGTTGTCACTCATTTACCACTAGGTTACACATTCACTATGTTTTCAAGATCTCTAATAAATACAGACAGTAATGAAAAGACTCCAACTGACAGTTCTTTACTTCTAAGTTTAGTGTGATGTGTGGAAAATAACTTGTGCCCAAGTGGGCCAGGGTGGTCCATAGTATTGGCGGCGATGAACTGGCTGTGCTTTTTTGGGACGGGTGGAGGTTACTTTTACGCCAGTCATTCATTTCCAATCTATAAAATGAGACAATAAAAATCTAGTTCTGGAAATCTGTGATTCTGGTTCAAATGCCATTAGAAGTTTACTCTGTTCAAAAGATTTTAGCTTATTTCATGGGTGGTCACATCACTGCTGAATTCTTTTACCTTTGAAAATAACCAGTTCAAAGTCTAACATACCAAGAAGGCAGCAAATGAAAGCCACAGTCTCAAAACCTACAGTGGCTTGGAAAATCCCTCATACCATTATAAAATGATGGAGGAAACTACAGATACAGTAATTTCTTCAACATGTCAGAGAAATTTTCTGTACATAAATTACTTTTTTACAAAACCCCAAACCTTCTGAAAGAACATCCGAGCTCCACAGGGAGGCGATAACTTCTGAAAGGCGTCCCCACTCACCAAGTGAAGAATAGCAGCCAAGATTTTATACGCTGTTTGAATCTCCTCGGGTTTGAAGCCAATTACTTTCATGGCATCGGCTACTACTTTGAATTCTGCAGCATCATTGATAGACGACTGGGAATGAAAACAGGAAACTGAGGTCACAGACATTTCATTTGAACATTAACATACAAAACCATGAGGCTAAATTCAAGTGTAGCCAAGGTCTTGATGCCTTTGGAGTAAGTCATTGAAGGGATGGGGAGAATCCAGAGAAAATACAATGATTTCAGGGGTAGCGATACACGGCAACTCCCGCAAGGCCCACTTCTGTGAGAGAGCCGCCATCTCTCATAGTAAGCACCAGGCACTTCTCTGGAAGCTTCAGTGAAGGAGCAAGTCCTGAGTTGGCTCAGGGAAGCTCTGGAATGAGTGGAGGAAGTGGCATGACATGTGAGACCACAAATGGAAACTCTGACTGAAGGAGCCTCCGAGACACATCCTAGCTATTGTCGTCTGTGGCTTTTGGTTCCGCAATTAGTCTTGTCCAGGCTAGGAACAACGCTCCCACGCTGGTATGGCCAGGCTTCCTACTTCAAAGGTGAGGAAGAACACTCCCCACTCCACCCCTAAAAGCCAAGAGGCCTGCCTCGATCATTCGGCTAGCTGGGAAACGGTCTGGGAATATGACCTTGCTTTTTCAAGCATTCTGTGAACATTAAGTATGTCAGAGATTCTTGCTGTATAAGAGGGCTCCTGCAGAAGGAATGTTTATATCTCTCTCCTGAGTTTCCTGGGGGCTTCCCAGGTGGCGCTAATGGTAAAGAGCACGCATGCTAATGCAGGAGACATAAGAGATGTGGGTTTGATCCCTGGGTTGGGAAGATCCCCTGGAGGAGGGCATGCCAGCCCACTCCACTATTCTTGCCTAGAGAATCCATGGACGGAGGAGCTTGGTGGGCTACAGTCCATGGGGTCACAGAGTCGGACATGACTGCAAGGACTCAGCACACACAAGCCGCTACTTGAGCATCTTGAGTACCTCACACCCAAGTTTATATGTTGAAATCTTAACCTTCAAGGTGATGGTGTTAGGAGATGGGGCCTCTGGGAGGTGATCAGGTCTTGGAGATGAAGTCCTCATGTTGGGATGGGTACCCTTATAAAAGAGACCCCAGGGGTCTGTCAGTGACAATTTGGTGCTTGACAAGGGCCTTTGCCATCTGCCTCGTTGGGGACTAAAGCCTCTGCAACTGCAGCTGTTGACCTCTGCCATGCCCTGAAGGGAGTTCAGGGTGGACAGCTGGGATGGGGCACTTTATGCTCCAGGGAAACTGGTGGAACAGGTCTTCAGATAGTTATTTTCAGGAGTTGATTTCACGATCCCAATCCTTGCATCTCCTCACATCAAAGAGAAGCACTAAATCCCTTCATGGTGACATCAGCTCCTAGTGACTAGCAGGAAACCTTTTGTAAGATATTGACCTTCCCCCACTATCTCTTTGGAGCAGCTTCTCAGAGCTCTCTCCTAGGAAGCAATCCTCATTTTGCCCAAATAAAACTTAACACACAACTCTCACATTGTGCATCTTTTTAAGTTGACAGATCCCTGGTCCTTCTGCCCTGTGAAGACATGGCAAGAAGGCACCACTTGAACCACAAAGTGGACACCAACTCTGCCGGGGCCTTGATCTTGGGCTCCCCAGCCTCCAGCATTATGAGAAATCAACATTTTTCATATGTTTATGGTATGTTTGTTGTAGCAACCCAACTACACTAAGACAGGGGTTCAAAGACTAATTGCTTGCCCATTGGAAATACAAGGGTGTCAAAAAAATTCACAGTAAAGCAACAGTAACTGCCCATCTTAGGAGTTTTCCCAAAGCAGTGGCTGCGGAGAGTCTGATCTTTCCTCGGCGAGTTTCTGCCCTGGCTGGGACCCAGAGAGCTGGCCTGATGGCCACCTGCTGAGGAAGAGCAGAGGAAGGGGTCCCCTCTGCCTGATGAGCATGTGTTCCTTTAATTCCAGGACACAACCAGGCAAACTCTTCCCCCTTCCAGCTCTCTGAGTAAGACGCTTAACTTTGTTGAGGCTCAGTTTCCTCATGGGTACAAAGGGCATAATGATACCTTTCTTACATGGTTGTTGGAGAAGGAAATGAGAATTTACATAAAGCAACTCCCTTTATATACGGGTCTTGCCTTCAATCTTTCCCGAGACCCTGATGCTGGGAAAGATTGCAGACAAAATCAGAAGAAGATGGCAGAAAACGAGATAGTTAGGTAGCATTACTGACTCAGTGGACATGAATTTGAAAAACTCCAGGACACAGTGAAGGACAGGGGAGCCTGGTGTGCTGCAGTCCATGGGGGTGGCAAAGAGTCACCAACAGTTCCTAGCACATGAAAAGTGCCTGACTATCAGATTATTATTGTCAAAAGCTGCAACAGTGTTGAAACTGCAGAGAAACCAGACAGGAAGCCTACATGTCCTGCTGAGGGGACTGTCGGCTGCTTACCTAAAGGGCATTTTCCAGCCCTACTTCTTTCCTGCTGATGAAACACTGATGTGTTCACCCCTCGCCAAGTGCATATGTTCTTCGGGACTGGTTTCCCCTCATGCTGGAACTGCCACTGCCACTTTGGGACCATGAGGAAAATCAACCTAAGCAGACCAGCCAAATCCAGTGAGGATGGCAAAATTGTAAGTTGGAGAGAAAAACAAGCATCTGGGTCTCTTATCGACATTGTTAAGGCACTGAAGTAACCAACTCTGGAACTGCCCCATCCTAGGGCTTCTTGTTATGATACAATCAGGTTCCTTATTGTTTTTGAAGACTTTTAATTGGGTCTTACCTGTAACCCACAGTATCTTAATTGTGCGTGAGTCCTACATTTTAGGATGGCTAAGTTATGAAACATAGAGAGCAATACTTCATAGTTATTAAAACTGTTCTATTAATTTATATTTGTTTACATGGGAAGATATTAATGATTATATTATAATTTAATAAAAGGTTAACTTAATTAGGATTTATTGTATGATTCCACATATAAATATATACATATATAAACTGTTGTTATCAATAATTATCTCTGAAAGGTGAGCTTTAGTGTATTTTAATTTCCTTTTGGTTCATCTTTATTTTAGGTTTTGACTATGATCATATATTACTTCTTGGTTTTTACTGGGCAGGAAAAAAGGAAAGGGAGGAATAGGAATGAAAATTGTTGATGAAAAGGGAACCTAAAGTAAATTTAGCTTTGAAGAAAAGACTAAATGTTCATTTAGTATTTGCTTTTTCTGGGTGCTGTACATGACCCAGTCAAGAGTCACTTGGTCAATAAGACAATTTGATTTAAAAAGAATATTTTCAGTCACTGTTCTTTTAAGAGTTGATTTTATAGTCCTTTATACATCTTGAAGTACCTCTGACCTGTTCTCAAAAAGCTGGGGTGTGGCCCTCCGTTGTTTTGTTTGCTTTCAATTAATTTTCAGCCAAACATCCTGTTCTTGGATGACTGTAAAAGTATAAAACTGTGCAACTTAAATGTCAAACAATGGAAAACTAATTGCAAAACCCTAAGTATCATTTATTTATATGTGTGATAATAAAAATACCACTAAAACCAGTAATATAGGTATAATTAGCTTAAGATGAATAGCAAAGAATTTGAAAAAAAGAAATGCTTCCCACATCTTGGATTCTTTCCTTTTACAAAGTCTTTTATTTTCTCCCCCAACTACAAACATAGTGCACCTTTAATTATAGAAGAAATGTGAAATATGTAAAAAAGCAGGAGAACCCAAGTATGTATAACTTTATATATCCGGAGTAAACAAGCAAACCCTGGTCTATTTCCCTTCAAATCTTATTTCATGTATTTATATACCTTCCCCAATGAAACTATAATTACTGTTTTATAACCTACCATTGACAAATCACTATATTATTAGGATTAGCTATAAATTGGCTAGCAGAAACTATATGTACAGCAGAACACTAATTAGGAACAAAATGGCAAAAGGGTTGGTGTGATGTGTGTACAAGGGCTTTTACATGCAAGGGAAGGGAAAAAAAAATTGTGAAAGTTGAATAGAAATGCTCCAAGGATCACAAAACTATTTCATCAAAATCATGATTTGAAAAACTAATGAATGGTGATCTTTGATATCTTTCAACCACAGTGCTTTTCAGCTTCGTTTTGTTTTACCAACTTGCCTTTGGCCAAATCATACAGTACCTCCTTTTGCGGTGGATTTCCTACTTGTAACAATATTTTTAGAGGGTCAAAATAAAAGGAATGGGATTAAAAATTAAAAAAAAAAAAACCCCACAAGAACACAAGAGAGAAACTTCTTTCGTATCAGATGGTGNATTTTCTCCTGCTTACAGTCTGTGAATACTAAAGCCAATCAGGAGGAATGTCCTCAGATAGGTAGGAGGACTTGAAAAAAGAAGTGGCTCTGAGATGAAATATTCTCTAACTAACATGAATCTAACTTAATAGGGAAAGCCTATTTCTATAGCTATTTGAGGGCACATATGTGGCAAGCTGAAGTAGATTACTACAAAGACTTGCTGTGGTACTGTGATATAGAACCAGCTGGCCACAAGGCTTGTACTTAGTTTACCAAATGCTAACATGCTATAATGGAATAATATATCTGGCACACCAAAATGCTAGATGACATACTCAAGAATGTATCCAATCACTTTACTGAGAGGGTCTTCTGTGTGGATAAAATATAGGAAAGGTATGAACTCATTAGATTTATGTTCTCGTGTTAGACCATGAAAATGAAAGTCGCTCAGTCATGTCCGACTCTCTGCAACCCCATGGACTGTAGCCCACCAGGCTCCTCTGTCCATGGAACTTTTTCGGCAAGAAGACTAGACTGGGTTGCCATTTTCTTACTCCAAACTTAATGGTAAACTAGCTTTTTTTCATTTTCTGGGTTAATTCACTCAGGTCCTCCTGTTTCTGGCTTTAAAGATTTATTTTTATTTTTTATCTCGAGGGGAAATGGCTTCAACATCATCAGAGATGGAGAATGTTATACAGTCAGAAGGAAAATTACTTAAAAGTTCTTAGCCCTTTCGTAACGTAACTGGCATGAAAGGTTCTTGCTTTGACTGTAGCTGTCTGTGCTACAGACCGGGAGCTCTGTGGCAATCATGTGCTTATCCACCTTGTTATCTAGACAGTGTGCAGTTGTGTTTCAAATTCAGAAAGAGTCAATACTGCCTTGAATCTAAGAGGCGTCAGCAGCTGGTCATCTGTTGAATCATACTGGAAACAAACAGCTTTTCCTCCTCAGACTCTAAGCCCAGGAAAGGACAGTTAGTTGGGTAGCCAGGACTGTAGCATTGGACAAAGACAAACTTTAACTTTCACTCAAGTGCAGAAAAAGTTACAGGTTCTTTTTAAAAAAAATATTAAATTATTAATTTTGTTGCATGGACCTTAGTGGTGGCATGGGGGATCTAGTTCCCTGACCAGGGGTTGAACCTGGGTCCCCTGCATTGGTGTCTTAGCCACTGGACTACCAGGCAAATCCCAGTCACGGGTTCTTGAAATAACAGAACTCCTATATTTGGCAGAAAACTAGTTTACTGAAAACATGGTGAATTATCAACAAAACACAGATACAATACACGTCGTCCTTCTCTATAGAGAATTTGAGAAGGCACTATGTTGAAATTCTCTATATTTTTAGAAACAAAAGCAAAAATAAACAAATGGGACCTAATGAAACTTAAAAGCTTTTGCACAACAAAGGAAACTATAAGCAAGGTGAAAAGACAGCCCTCAGATTGGGAGAAAATAATAGCAAACGAAGCAACAGACAAAGGATTAATCTCAAAAATATACAAGCAACTCCTCCAGCTCAACTCCAGAAAAATAAATGACCCAATCAAAAAATGGGCCAAAGAACTAAACAGACATTTCTCCAAGGAAGACATACAGATGGCTAACAAACACATGAAAAGATGCTCAACATCACTCATTATCAGAGAAATGCAAATCAAAACCACAATGAGGTACCATTACACGCCAGTCAGGATGGCTGCTATCCAAAAGTCTACAAGCAATAAATGCTGGAGAGGGTGTGGAGAAAAGGGAACCCTCTTACACTGTTGGTGGGAATGCAAATTAGTACAGCCACTATGGAAAACAGTGTGGAGATTTCTTAAAAAGCTGGAAATAGAACTGCCATATGACCCAGCAATCCCACTTCTGGGCATACACACCGAGGAAACCAGATCTGAAAGAGACACGTGCACCCCAATGTTCATCGCAGCACTGTTTATAATAGCCAGGACATGGAAGCAACCTAGATGCCCATCAGCAGACGAATGGATGAGGAAGCTGTGGTACATATACACCATGGAATATTACTCAGCCATTAAAAAGAATTCATTTGAATCAGTTCTAATGAGATGGATGAAACTGGAGCCCATTATACAGAGCGAAGTAAGCCAGAAAGATAAAGACCATTACAGTATACTAACACATATATATGGAATTTAGAAAGATGGTAACGATAACCCTATATGCAAAACAGAAAAAGAGACTCAGATGTATAGAACAGACTTGTGGACTCTGTGGGAGAAGGCGAGGGTGGGATGTTTCAAGAGAACAGCATCGAAACATGTATATTATCTAGGGTGAAACAGATCACCAGCCCAGGTTGGATGCATGAGACAAGTGCTCGGGCCTGGTACACTGGGAAGACCCAGAGGGATCGGGTGGAGAGGGAGGTGGGAGGGGGGACCGGGATGGGGAATACATGTAAATCCATGGCTAATTCATTTCAATGTATGACAAAAACCACTGCAATGATGTAAAATAATTAGCCTCCAACTAATAAAAATAAATGGAAAAAAAAAAAGAAATTCTCTATATTAAACTGTACACTTCGGTTTACTGAAAAAAAAAACATAACTATCAGGTTTTTAAAATTGATTCTTTTTTTTTTTAACAAAAATAACCTGAATTTGTATTCCCATCTCTGGAGTGCTGCAAAATGGGAACAATAGCTCCAACTGAAAAATAAAGCTAATTTACCATATTCAGAATGTTACCGTTTCAAAAGCTTTTAGGGTCATTAAACTGTTACTACACTGCAAAGAAACATGGGGAATGCTCAACTGAGGCAGTCATCTGGTTGGTTAATACCTGCTAGCTTTTTAGAACAGTCATGCTCGTCAAGCCTCTGAAGAACTCCGTAGGGGAGGGTGTATGCACGCGTGCCCACGTGTGCAAAGTGTTGTGGGCCGATGGAGGTGAGGGAGGCATGAGGCAGGGGAGAGCCCCCAAAGTAAAAATCCATTTCATGCACACCTGAACAGATGGACGATTATCTGCAGAACAGCTTACTAACCTGATAGAAAGAATGAAAGCTTCTTTCTCCTGGCTGTTGCACAATAACTCGAGACTAAAGGGGGAAAAAAAGAAACACATTAAAATTGTTAATCTGACAATGTACTCCTGAAACAAAATGAGAGCCGCTTTCCCAGAGAAGCCGGTATCAGCGGGGCACTGAAAAGGTACTAAGGACCCCACGGGCGGGCCGGCCCATGGAGTTTTCTGTGCAATCTTCTGATAATTCTTTCTTGAACTTTCCGAAAATGAAGCTATTTTGATTTTTTTTAAACCTGGAGCCTAAAGATGGAATTTTCAGGGGGAGGGGATTAGCAGTGGGGAGAATAGGAAGCAATGTTTAGGGAGGAATACTCTGAGCATTCCCTTCCTGAGGATCTGCTGGTATTTCCAAGAGCACCACCTTACATCCTGTACTAAAGTCAGGTGAACAAGATCTGTCCACAGATTCCTCTGCTTGAGAGGGTTTCGAAAAGACTGCTCTTAAGAGAGGACTCAAAACATAAGGGGATTCTTTTGCCTGAATATGTACATAAAGTGAAGGCATGAAACATTTTGGAAAAAAAAAGACTGATAATAACTGGCATTTCCTGTCCTTTTTCAACTGACTCTGATAAAACACTGTTTCCTGAATAGTCTGACTTCAGCTTCCCAAACAAAGATAAGGTTAGACTGCATTCTGCTGCCATAAATGTTGCTATGGTATGATTGGGATGGAAAACCCTTAACTGAGAAGGTAGGTCAGCTCATCTCTGAGTACAATTCAAGGTGGCGACTTAACTTGGTAAAACTTAGATTGGCTGTAACCAGGTGAATCTACTCCGGATTAGTTAGGACACAACCTCTCTAGCAGTCCCAAGAGGAAAGTTTTGACTAGACTCATCTACAAATTGGATCTTTCACTCACATGGGCAGATAAAAACATACTCTAAGTTTTCACAGACCAAATGTAGTATGCCTCATAATTAGGCTATAAAATCACAAAGTACTATATTACTATATAAATATACATATAAATATTACTATAAAGCAGTGAACAAATAGAAACTGGAAGAAAAGGAGATTTCAAATTAATTAAAATAAAAACATGGGAGGATGTGTAAAAAGAGTAGAAGTGATTAATTCTAGATGGCTTTTTGCTAAACCTTACCCCAAAAGTTGGCATATGTTCAATCACCCCCCTTCACACACACACCTAAATCATTATCTACAAATTCTATAACTTCTCCCACCTTGACATTGTAATGCTAATAAGAGAACACAAAAAGAGAACATTAACGTCACAGAACAGTTACTGAGGGGCAGGAAGGGATGGAGAACAAGATTAAAAGGTACTTTGGAGCAATAAAAGAAATTCTACAATCAGGTTTTTAAAAGACATTCAGCATTAACAGACTCATATACAGGAAACAAACAGTGGTTGTCAGAGAGGACAGTGTTGGGGGCAGGGATGGTGAAATAGGTGAAGGGTATTAAGAGGTACAAACTACCAGTTATAAATGAAGTGATGTACACACATGGAATATAGTCAACAATATTGTAATAAGTTTGCATGGTGATGGACAGTAATTGGTCTTATTTTATAATATATAAAATCATAGAATCACCATATTGTATACCTGAAACTAATACTGTACATTAATCATAACTCAATTTGAAAACACAATTCTAGTGCTCCCCCTCAAAAATTCAGCATTTGCAAACATGACCCTCAGAAATTAAGCACATTTTACCTTCTCCAATAAGTAGTTATTGATGTGTCCACCAATTGGGTCTCCCTTGAAATCAAAGTTGATATCCATATATTTTCCAAACCTGCTTGAGTTGTCATTGCGGTTGGTTTTGGCATTTCCAAAAGCTTCCAGGACACAGTTAGACTTAAGCAACATATTCTTCACTCTTTAACACAGATAAATGAAAGTCACTGCAAGAAATTTCAAAGACTGGACTTTTTAAGAAACTAGATTTCATTAAAAGACATGTAAATATGTCTACAGAGATGTTGACTGTAGCACTGTTTGCAACATCAAAAGAACAAGAACTTTTAAACAACAGAAAAGTTCATGCATCCCTATGCATGAAGACAAATTTTTGCTTCCTAGTACAACATATACTGACCTAGAAAGAGGTCCAGAATATATTAATGAATGAGAAATTAAGTTGCAAAATAATATGTATTACAAAATAGTATGATCTTTGTGGTGTGTGTGTGTGTGAGTTTGTGTGTGTGTGCACACACATGTTTTACTAAATGCTTACAAATCTCGAAGGGACAACATACTTCACTATGGTTACCTAGGTTGATGGGGGAGGTAGGTGGAATTTCAGGGAACTTTCATGTTCTGCACAAGGGTGTAATTTTTAGTTTTTCTATTAAATGAGCATACTTTATTTACATAAAGAAAAATATTAAAAAGAGATGTTCTGAAAAGAATGGGTGATACGGAAAATGATTTCATTTTTAAAAGTATTTGCTTACAAAGCCTAGTGAAATTTACTGCACTGGTTAAAATATCATCAATGTGGTCTTGATTAGTTTAGAAACTGCTCATCATTTTGTTTGGAGCTGTATGGAATCTCTCTTTGTTATCAGGTATTTATGTCTTTTTTTTTTCAGGTATAATTTTTAAATAAAGATAATTACAAAAGATGTTAAGTCATTCTTTATTGATGAATACTAATTCTCTATCCCAATGGATACATTTTAACTTCATTCTAGGTCTTGTCTTTGTTTCTATTTCACTGACATACTTGCTCTTATATGGGCATATTGCTGAAATAACCTTCCATCACTATTAAAAGTGACCCTACAACCTTAACTCCTCACGAATGAAAGTACGCTTTTAAGTGGAGCAGGGGAAACTGCTTTGCTATGGTAAATAAAGAAAAGTGTTTATAAACTATGGTAAGATATGCTCTTAAAAAACCAGTAAGTGTAAACATGCCTTACTTTACTGTACCAACTGGGCTTAGAAATTAACTCTTAAAACAAACTAAAATTTAGTTCTCAGCCAGTTACTCTCCTGAGATTCTAAACTTACTTATATCCTTGTCCTTGTCCTATTAGGTTGTAAAGTCAGAATCACAATTGGGGCTGTATCACTGAAAGACACCTCTTTTGGCGTGGCAATCTAGCCCAGTTAACGATGAAAAGAAGAAAGCCCATGTAGGATAGTCTAGTCCAAATTTTCTTCTTTTGTACCAACACAGCTTCCTTTTTCTCTACCCATAAAACTGAATACTGAGATGTATATACAGAGTGTGACTGTCCTGTAAATAAATACTAAGTTTCAAACTAGCAACTTTGGATTTTTTTTTTTTTTTTGATGTGGACCATTTAAAAAATCTTTATTGCATTTGTTACAATACTGCTTGTTTTATATCTTGGTTCTGTGGCCAGGAGGCATGTAGGATCTTAGCTCCCCGATTAGGATCAAACCCACATCCCCTGCACTGGAAGGTGAAGTTTTAACCACTAGATTGCCAGGGAAGTCCCAAAGTAGCAACTTTAGAAAGTTGCTCTTTTTCTCTTCGGAAAGTCCACACCACATAAGAAAGTCATGTTTTATAGCCACATTTCCAACTTTCTAAAAGCAAAAAAACCCCATCCATTTACTCCTTAATATTTACTAAGTAAATAGCATGTACCAGACACTCTACTGAATGCTGGATCAGTGCACATCAGCACACCCAGACAGCGCACACCAGCTTTATCACTCATTCTGTGGTGAGCAGAGAACAACGTGGTATAAAACCCTTTCAGAAAATGAATCCTATTTGGAACTTCTAATACCAAGGTTCTGGTTGTCACAGAGTTGGGCAGCATGCGTCTGCCTCCCAGAGCCCCCTTTCAGCCTGGGGAAAGTAGAACACAGTGTAGAAAAGATGCTTGTACAGTAGAAAGAGTGAGAAACCTGTGCGTGCTAGAACAATACAAACTCCCAGGAGACTATTACATCTTTGCTGAGCACATGTAACACTGAAGGCAGCTGCAGACTAGAATTCCCTTAGCAGTATCTTTCGATCAAAAAGAAATATGGAAATAGAAGGATATAAATGGAAATATAGAGAGGACTTCCCTGGTGGTTCAGTCGTTAAGAATCTGCCTGCCAGTGCTGGGGACACAGGTTCGATCCGTGGTCTGGGAAGATTCCACACGCCTCGGAGCAACCAAGTCCATATGCCACAACCACTGAGCCTGTGCTTCACAATGGGAGTGGCCGCTGCAACAAGCCGCCTGCGCGCTGCACCTGAGAGGGGCCCCCCTCACCCCAACTGGAGAAAACCTGTGCGCAGCAACGAAGTCCTGGTGCGTCCCCCAGTGAAGAGACACATCCTAAAAGATAACTCAAACTAAGCTATTAAAAAACAAAAGCACAGAGCTCTGCAGTAAGAGAATCAAAGTAGTTTAACTGTCAATAAATGAGAGTGTGGACCTAATCTCGTCCAGTCTGTACAGAAAGTGAGGCTCCAGAGACAATTCTCCCCCAGAGTGAGACGGCCCTTACCTTTCGATCTCCGCTCTCTGACTGGGGTTGGTGATGGCCGCAATGTACTGCATGATGTACTTACTGGCTTCTGTTTTACCGGCTCCGCTTTCCCCTAGGGGGAGAATTGTGGAAGGCTTAACATTCCCACTTACACCAAGCTAATGTTCAATCGAATTATTTCAAGTTTTCTTTTTTTTTTTAAAAAAAATTGGAGAATCAAATTATTTCAAGCTTTTTTTTTTTTTTAAAGTATCATTGCTTTACAAGTTTCTGCTAGTTTCTACTGTACGGCAAAGTGAACCAGCTACATGGACACATATATCCCCTCTTTTTTAGATTTCCTTTAAATTTAGGTCACCACAGATCCCTGAGTACAGCTGCCCTGTGTTATATAGGAGATTCTCATTAGTTATCTATTTTATTCATAGTAGTGCATATATGTCATCCCGATCTTCGCATCCATCCCCTTGGTATCCATAAATTCATAAAGTTTTTTAGAAAATATTTACTTTCATTTCTTTATTTGACTGTGCTGTGTCTTAGTTGTAGCCTGTGGGATCTAGTCCCCTGACCAGGGACTGAACCTGAGCCCCCTGCATTTGGAGCATGGAATCTTAGCCACTGGACCACCAGGGAAGTCCCCATTTGTCAAGGTTTGATGTAATTCATTTGAAATATTTAATGTTTCTCTCTTTTATTTTTTTTTTTGAGTTATTTAACCCTGTCTTGATATGGGGTTGGTTCTAATGGATCTGAACATGGTAAAAAATTTAAAACTATTGTAGAAGCAAAATAACAGATTACAGATCAAGACTTACTTAGTAAACAATATCAAGGGATAAAATGTGGCATACTAATTCCTTAAAGTCTTAGTATTTGGCAGTAACTCTGAAGTCCAGTGGAAAATAAACAAGAAAAGTGACAAATAGTAGCCACAGTGAAATTCATGTAACTTTGTTTTCGATAGCAGATTAAAAAAAATTTTTTTTTAGTGGGGATGAAAGTTTCTTTAATTACAGCAATTTTAGTGAAAAACAAAAGCAGCAAGCTCCAGACATATAGTGTCACAGAAAAAGCATGACAACTGACATAAGGAGGGGAGAAGGGATAAATTTATAATTATCTGCCCAGATCTTTATTTTTTATTTATTTGTTTATTTTTGGCTGGGCTGTGTCTCTGTTGCTGTGTGCAAGCTTTCTCTAGCTGCGGAAAGTAGTGGCTCACTCTCTAGCTGTGGTGTGTGGACTGCTCATTGCAGTGGCTTCTTTTGTTGAAGAGCATATGCTGTAGGGTGCATACGCTTCAGTAGTTGTGGCACATGGGCTCAGCAGTTGTGCACAGGTTCAGTCACCTCGTGTCATCCTGGACCAGAGATTGAGCTTGAGTCCTCTGCATTGGCAGGCTGATTCTTAACCACTGGACCACAGGGGAAGCCC